GGGTGAATTTTAAATAGGGATAATTTTTAATGATTTTAATAATGTCACAGCTACAAATATTTGGTTTTAATTGGCTTTTATAGGGGAAATGTTGTGTGTGTTGTTTGTATTGTGTTATTTTAATATGCTGTGAGCCGCCCTGAGTCCCGTGGGGAGAAGGGCGGCATATAAATTATGAAAAAATAAATAAATAAATAAAATCTCTCTCTATCATCATCATCTATCAATCTAGCATCACTCTATTTATCTATCTATCTATCTATCTATCTATCTATCTATCTATATCTATCTATCTATCTATCTATCTATCATCTATCTATCTATCTATCTATCTATCTATCTATCTATCTATCTATCTATCTATCTATCTATCTATCTATCTATCTATCTATCTATCTATCTAATCATCTATCTACAATCCGTTCTATCATCTTCCTTCCTTCCTTCCTTCCTTCCTTCCTTCCTTCCTTCCTTCCTTCCTTCCTTCCTTCCTTCCTTCCTTCCTTCCTTCCTTCCTTTCTTTATCTATTGTAGTCCTTGACTTGCAATCATTCATTTAGTGACTGTTCAAAGTTACAATAGAACTGTAAAAAGTGACCTATGACCGTTTTTCATACGGCCATTGCAGCAGCCCATGGTCACATGATCAAACTGCCTGCTTGGCAACTGGCTCATATTTATGACAGTTGCAGTGTCCCGGGATTATGTGATCATCTTTTGTGACTTTTTGACCAGCAAGGTCAATGGGGAAGCTTAACAACTTAACAACTGTGTTACTAACTTAAAACTGTAGTGATTTACTTAACAACTGTGGCAAGAAAAATCATAAAATGGGACAAAACCTACTTAACAACTGTCTGGCTTAACAACAAAATTTTTGGCTTCAATTGTTCTTTGCAAGTCGAGGACTATCTGTATTTATCATTCCTGGAAACTTTAAGAAGTGTGGACTTCAAGTGCCAGAATTCTCTAGCTAGCGTGCAGGCTGGGGAATTCTGGGAATTGAAGTCCATACTTCTTAAAGTTGCCAAGGTTGAGAAACATTGCTCTAGGGCAGGGGTCTTCAAACGTGGCCCTTTTATGACTTGTGGACTTCAACTCCCAGAATTCCTCAGCCAGCCTCCATTTTGTTTGTTAGATTTAAGACAGGGGTCTTCAAACCTGGCCCTTTTATGACTTGTGGACTTCAACTCCCAGAACTGAGGAGTTCTGGGAGTTGAAGTCCACAAGTCATAAAAGGGCCAAGTTTGAAGACCCCTGTTGTATGGTTTTTTAAAAATCGGTTCAGGCTGGATTCTGGAAAAGAGAATCATATTGACCCCTTCGTTACCTGTTGAGAATGGCAGGTAAGCTTCATTGTTCACAAAATTGCCTTCAGAATCAAGGAAATGCGCCGGATTGAATTTCCAAGGAGTGTCCCAGTATTCTGGATCATACAACACCGAATGAGCATTGGGCAGCAAAAGGGTTCCCTGGAAGGGGGGGGAGGAGAAAAAGGAAATGTGAGTTCTTGTTTTATAAATTATCTGTTCAACCATCCTGAGAAGGAGGCCAAAAATTCTGCATGTTTTCTCTTTTCCAACAGTGGTGGGAAGGGCAAAGACCCAGCTGAATAAGCTGAAATTCAGAATACAGGCTAGAACAGAATTTATTGATCTCAGTAACTGTAAGGGGGTGGACCTCCCAGCAATCCCTCGCCAGGCTGTGAACAAGTAGTCCTCAACTTATGACTGTAACTGAGCTTGGCAATTACGTTTATAAGTTGTCCTGGTTTTAAAGCCGTCGCCACTTAATCAGCTGTGGCTGTTAAAAGCAAATGCTGTGTTCTTTAAGTGAATTGTTTGCTATGGGCCTTTTTTTTTTTTTTTTTTTTGCTGTAAACTGGAATTAAATGTCAGTTTGGGGCACAAAAAAGTCATAAATCATGGTCATGTGACCACAGAATGCTGCAAACAATTGTAAATGTGGGTCAGTTGAATTAGAATAGAATAGATTCTGGAAGGGACCTTGGAGGTCTTCTAGTCCAGTCCCCTGCTCAAGCAGGAGAACCTATACCGTCCCAGACAGGTGAATGTCCAGTCTCTTCTTGAAAATCTCCAGTGATGGAGCGCCTATGATTTCTGGTGGCAAGCTGTTCCACTTGTTAATTGTCCTCACTCTCAGGAAGTTTCTCCTTAGTTCCAAGTTGCTCCTCTCCTTGATCAGTTTCCAACCATTGTTTCTCGTCCTTCCCTCTGGTGCTTTGGTGAATAAAGTGACCCCCTCATCTTTGTGGCAGCCCCTCAGATACTGGAAGTCTGCTATCATGTCTCCCCTATTTCTTCTTTTCTTTAGACTAGCCAAACCCAAATCCTGCGGCCGTTCTTCGTATGTTTTAGTCTCCAGGCCTTGGATCATCTTAGTTGCTCTTCTCTGATTTTTTTCCAAACTCTCAACATCTTTTTTGTGATATGGTGACCAAAATGGGCTTCAGTATTCCAGGTGTGGCCTCACTAGGGTTTTATAAAGCGGTACTAATACTTCGCGGGATCTTGATTCTATGCCTCTGTTTGTGCAACCCAGGATTGTATTAGCTTTTTTGGCTGCTGCTGCTGCACAGTGCTGGCTCATGGTCAAGTGATCGTCCACCAGGACTCCAAGGTCCCTCTCACAGTTACTGTTGTTGAGCCAGGTCTCGCCCAGTCTGTATTTGTACCTTTGACTTTTTCCTTCCTAAATGTAAGACTTTGCTTTTCTCCACGTTGAAACTCATTTTGTTGGATAGGGCTCATTGTTTGAGTTGGTCAAGATCTTTTTGGATCCTGAGTTTGTCTTCTGGGGTATCAGCTACTCCTGCCAGTTTGGTGTCATCTGCAAATTTGATGAGTTCACCACAGGGGGGACCAAAGCTGGAACTTTCACCCCAGGTCATAAGCAGCTTTTTAGGGGTGTCTTATAACTTAGAACGGTGGCTAATCAACTGATCGTAAATGGACGATGACCTGTAGAGTTTGGCTCCCACAATTCCCCAGCAAAATAAGATTTTGCTCTTATTTTCATCAGTTTGTGTGTGTGTTTTTTTACTTTCAATTTACCCACTTTTATCCACGATTTCGCTTGTTGCTTTCCACTTTCAAAGTTAGCCTTTTGGCTTTTACAACAACACGGACTTCACGGAACAGAATACAGATCGTCCTCAAGTTACGACAGTTCGCTTAGCGAAGGTTGAAAGTTATGACACCCCTTCCTCCCAAGTATTTATGACACAGTCCAGAAGTTACAAATAATAATAATGTTAAAGATTCATATACAACTGAAAGCAGAGATCTTTTTGCGGGGACTGATGGATAAGCTACTGGGGGGGGGGGGGGAAACATGGAACTTTGTTTTTTATATGAAAGCTGCAGCAAGACCAAAGGTACAATTTAAATTTTGACAATTTAAATTATCACATCATCATCATCAGAATGTTGGAAAGGACCTTGGAGGTCTTCTAGTCCAACCCCCAGCTCAGGCAGGAAACCCTATGCGATTTCAGACAAATGGCTGTCCAGTCTCTTCTTAAAGACCTCCAGTGTTGGAGCACCCACAACTTCTGGAGGCAGGTTGTTCCACTGATTACAAATGGTCACTACAAACTTACAAACAGCTGTCAATCGAGGATTACCTGCCCTTACAGAACACACTGATGCTGCTTACTTTTAACCTATTTCTCTCGCTTAGTGTTTTGCAAACCCAGCCTCTGTGGCTTGTTTGGGATTCAGTGTATTGCAACAACTAAGAAAACAGTCCTTGTGTCACTAAGCGGAATGTAAATTTAGCCTGTATTTTGCAAGGCCTGAGCTCTTAACTTTTGCCAATAAGTCTCCCACAAGCTGCTGAGAGTGAGTGGACAGAGGGAGAGAGGGAGAGGGAGGGAGAGAGGGAGAAAGAGGAAGGGAGGGAGGAAGAGAGAGGGAGGAGAAGGGAGGGAGGGAGGGAGGAAGAGAGGGAGAGAGGGAGAAAGAGGAAGGGAGGGAT